TTCTGCATGCCTCTTCTCTTGCTAGGATTTGGTCCTAAAAGTAAATGCTCTCTCCCAAAAGACCTTTCTCAGTAGACTGCAGATCAGGCAGAAAACAAGAAAAAACACAATGAATTGCAGGAACACGGCTTGTTGTTCGGGTCCCCACAGACGGCGCCATTTGATGCGGTTAATTATCCGAGGTACGTAAAGAGTATATGGTTAATTACCCGATGTACGTAAAGAGTATACCGTATATACAAATTATATTGTATGTATGAACAATGTAGAGTAGACAAGAAGTAGCTCAAATAACTCTTTTATTCATAATTTACTCTTGTGTAGAGAGAGGAGAGAGTGTTTAGCTAGAGTGAGAGAGCTCGTGGAGAAGAAGGAGAGGCCAAAAGATCCTTTCACTTAGAGGGCAAGAAGCCCTTTTATAGGGTCAAGCGTAGGCAGGTTTGACCTTGACCCGTGGACCGGGACCCGAACCGTTTGACCTCGACCCAAACGAGAGCACGGAGCGTACAGGGAGTCTGTACCCGGGGTATATTCCCCATCATAGTACAATATTTATAGCATAATGTATCAGCATTCAAAAAAAAATAAAAAATAGCATAATGTATGATAAAATGAAGGGTATAACCTTCCTCCCTCCGATCCGACAGAACATTTAGGAGGATGTAAATTATGGTAACCCAACTGAACATGAACCACAGAGGCTAGACTTGTCACTTTGAGAAGTTGCTTCCACACTGCCACTGGTGAGACTCAATCCCCGATCATTCTTCCAAAGTTTCACCTCTGTGACCAGTTGAGCAGAAACTTAAACTATTAATAATACGAATTGTTGTTTACTCTCTGTTCGTTGTATATTTGTACTAGTAAATATTATACCGGTAAACATTCTTACTGTCATAAGCCATACATTGTTTAAATTATTATGTACGAAGTATATACAATTGATCACATACATGTATGCTAGCTGCAGGCTGTTCAGCAGATGGCGATAGGGCTCAGGGACATGGGTGGATCTACCGTGGGGCATTGGGGGACAGCTGTCCCTTCTTCTACTCTCACCCTATATATAACCCTTGTAAATATATGTGTATATATAGTACATGTTTAAATATAAGTACAAGAATACAGATAAATGTAAATAAAAAATGAGATAGATTTTGGCAAGTCATGCCTTTAACCTTAGGAGAGGTAGGGGGTTCAAATCCTACTATTTTAACACGGAGAAAATAAACAAATGAAGAGCTTCATGCATTCATGGACTTTTTATTTATTTCCAGGTACAATGTAAAGGTAGATGTTGGTTCATATACGGCTACGTCTACCGCTTTCTGTGTGGTTGTGAGGATTTGCACTATTATGTATGCACAAATTTATCACCACGTGTTTATAAATGCACCATGGTGTGGTGCATTTTACAAATTGAACTCCTAGATCTGTCAAGTGCGAAATTTCTCTTTTCTTTTATGAATAACTCCCAAATCTACGAATATAAAATTTGATTCGCAGGTATGGGAGTAATTTGTAAAAGAAAGAGGGATTTCACGCTTTGTAGGGTTGAGAGTAAAGAGATGTCAATATTGAGATTACTGAATTGTCTATTTGTTTAACATCAATTTAACGGAATAACAAACGGATGATTAAATTGAGAAAAAAATACAAAAGTCAGAGATTACATTAGGTTACCAAAGTCGTTTAGGACGAAATTAATAAAAATCACTATAGTCGATGACCATTTTGTGTATTAACTCATATATATATTGTATATACCAAATTATGTCACCCCGACCAACGACTATGTAATGTGATTGCATCTAGATCACCATTCCAAGTTGGTGGTCCTATATTTAAATACTCGATGATGGGACTGTTCATATACTTTCTCAACCTACTGAAACACAAAAAGCTAATAACACCTCTACTGAGATTTGAACTCACAACCTTCCAAATGAAAGTCCAACCCAGGTACCATTGGACCACATAATCCTGGTCGATAATGGGACTTAAATTCTTTGAATTGAAAATGATTAAGAAAATATAAAATAAATACTATCTTATAAAAAAATCACGGTTATTTTAGAAAAAAAAAAAAACATCTATGAACAAATGGGATCAATAATCCTACAAAGGAAGACACAATGAGAATTACCTTAAGGAGGTCTATAGTACATAACATTTACATAAAGTATACACGAGGGTGAAAAATCATTTACTTGACCATATTTCTATCACCAAACCAAAAAAAAAAAAAAAATTCTTCATATTTTATAATCACCGTAGATTGCCGTCCATAAATTCTTTATCATACAGTAGTATTTGCACCCGTGCGATACATGGAATAAATTTGTTGTAATATATTAAGAATATATGAATCGATATATAATTATTTAAATTAGAACATCAAATATTATATAGTGCAATTACAAATATTGTTTGGATCGTTTATATATTTTAATGTTATCATTGCTTGAATTTGTGTAAATAATTGCTCAAATTAATAGCTAACGTCTAGATGTACGCATATGGTGCTATAACTTTGAATATTTTATTTATCATTGTTTAGTATTTTCATAAATTAGGCAAATGTGCTCGTTCTAGGACAACTCAATTATAGAAATGAATTGCTATTCTTATTCATTTGTATGGAAGATATATTTTTTTTGTCTAGATATATACTAATTTTTTCATTAAAAAAAAAATTTAATATCACCAATTATATTTACACATTATTGAAATCTCTATGTAGACGACACTGGTAGTGACAACACAATCTTGTTCATCTTCGTCTAGAGCAAACACCTTCAATCCATAAGGACGGGTTACTTTGATGAAAATATATAATAGTATAATATCACTCAATTAGTTATCCTTTTATATTTTCAGTCAATTAGTAATATCATATTCATTTTCAGTCAATTATTCTTTTTTTTATTTTCAGTCAATTAAAATATCAAATGCAATGACATTTTTACCTAATTTTCGTTCCATTTTTAATTGATGATGTAGATATTATTATTGAAATATTTCCGTTCAATTTTTAATTTACCTTTACTATTGTTTAAAATTTACATTTACTATTGATAATATAGAATATAGGGATGGCAACGGGGCGGGGCGGGGGCGGGGAGTATACTCCCCGACCCCGTCCCCGAAACCCCGACCCCGTCCCCGTCCCCGTCCCCATCCCCAGCGGGGAATTAAAAATAGTCCCCATCCCCGCCCCGCGGGGTATTTGGCGGGGACGGGGATTCCCCATCCCCGATCAACTCTTAGTCAAAATCTAAAATTTTTGTAATTTTTAATTTTAAAAAATAAAAACTTAAATCTTAATTTAAACTTTTATATATATATATATATATATATATATATATATATATATATATATATATATATATATATATATATATATTACATAATGCTACGGTACACAGTAGCAATGTTACTGTATACAGTAGCATTAAGTAATCTATATATACTATTATAACTACAGTAGCATACTAGCATTAAGTAATATATATATATACTATTATAACTAAAATAAATAGTATTAGCAATGTACTGTGTACCGTAGCATTATGTAATATATATATATATATATATATATATATATATATATATATATATATATATATATATATATATATATATATATATATGCTACTGTATACAGTAGCATTAAGTAATCTATATATACTATTATAACTACAGTAGCATACTAGCATTAAGTAATATATATATACTATTATAACTAAAATAAATAGTATTAGCAATGTACTGTGTACCGTAGCATTATGTAATATATATATATATATATATATATATATATATATATATATATATATATATATATATGCTACTGTATACAGTAGCATTAAGTAATCTATATATACTATTATAACTACAGTAGCATACTAGCATTAAGTAATATATATATACTATTATAACTAAAATAAATAGTATTAGCAATGTACTGTGTACCGTAGCATTATGTAATATATATATATATATATATATATATATATATATATATATATATATTATTTATTTATTTATTAATTTTAGTTATAATAATTATTCGGGGACGGGGACGGGGCGAGGCGGGGAGGGGTATCCCCGTCCCCGTCCCCGTCCCCGCCGGGGAATTTCAAAAATTCCCCATCCCCATCTCCAATCCTCGAAAATTTTCCCCGTCCCCGTCCCCATCCCCTACGGGGCCGGGGATCCCCAACGGGGACGGGGCATATTGTCATCCCTAATAGAATATTATTATTGAAATATTTTTCTCAAATTTTTAATTTTCATTTCATTTTAATTAAAATGCAATGATCTAACCAATCTTTTTTAATTAATTATGGATCATTTTTTATTTACAATCAATTATTAATATTCAAATTCTCAACCACACTTCTAGACAGGAAACATAAACCCATTTTATCATGGATTTTTATTGCATGATGAAGTGAAGATTTCAAGTATAATTATTAGAATGTGCTTATCATTTATAGAGTTAAATATCCATTTTACTTCTCAAATTATTAGTCTCAAAGTATTAAAAGTACCTAATTTAGTCCTCTTACTTTTAAAATCAAACTCAATGTGGTCCTCCGTTACAATTGCCGTCTATCTACCGTTATTTTGAGTGCATAAGCGTCATTTTAGTTGAGGCCAAACCCGTTTCTTCCTCTGCTCGTCACTGCTCAGCCGCCGAACCACCACCTGCTACGCCTGAGCTCGTCGGAGGGGAGGTCTGCCACGTTAGAAGGTCGCCGGAACACGCCCATGCCGCCTACTCGTCGATCTGCTGCTGGCGTTAGCTACGTAAGTGTGTGATTTACATAATTAGAAATTGTAAAATTATATATTTAACAAAATAAGTTCAAATAATTAATTCTTATGTTCAAGCTTAATCAAGTATTATACAAATGTTGATATCTAAACTTAATATTATAAGCAATGTTTATTCCAAATAATGACCAATTTAGATATTAGAATTAGAATGAAGGAGCCCTCAAATGGTCATACACTCAAACCCTAAACAGTCCCTCACAAATTCACAATCTCACACACACAGGTAGTCGCTCGCTTGCTCTCTGGAGTCGCTGCCTCTCTCGCTCAATCTCTCTCACGTCCTCAACCTCACCATTGTCGGTCGCCGGTCGCCCAATCACCCTCCGTCTTCGGGGTCTACTTATCTCTGCCTCGCCGGAGTCGTCGCTCATCGATCTCCCTCCCGTCTCCGGCAACTCTCCGTTTTCTCCTCGGAAATATATCAATTGGGTATGATATTTAATCATCTATAGAAGATCTTTCATTTATAATTGAAAATTTCGAGTATTTTTTTTAATTAGATATTCATTTCATTTATCTATGTTATGCCGTGTTAATTGATAACTTGTAAATGTGATTGTGTTTTGTGGATGATTCATTGTTGCTCATTGGTAATCTGTTAATCTGTTAATTGGCTGGTGCCCTAATCACTGTAATTGTTGTTGGTTGAAGGCCTGGAATATAATCCGGAATGGGTAGCAAAAGTAAACCACCGCCTCCATTCCTAAGACACCCTCCCCTAGGGCCAAGCACTGTGCATCCTGATCCTTATGGTCATTCGATTCGGCCCCCACCTGGTGGTTTCCCTCCATTTGAGATGCTTCCTCATCCCGAGATTATGGAGCAAAAGCTTGCCACACAACATGCAGAGATGCAAAAACTTGCAAAAGAAAACCATAGGCTTGCCGCCACCCATGGAACGTTGAGGCAAGAGCTTGCTGCTGCAAAACATGAGCTGCAACTATTGCACACTCACATAGGGGCTATGAAATCTGAGAAGGAACAACAGACAACGGTCCTCAAGGATAAAATTGCTAGGATGGAGGCTGAATTAAAAGCTGCAGATCCTCTTAAAGCAGAATTGCAGAAGGCACGGGGCGAAGCTCAGAATCTGGTTACTGAAAGGCAGGAACTTATTTTGAAAGTGCAGCAGCTGAATCAAGATCTTCAGAGGACTCACTCTAACACACAACAGATTCCTCTTTTGTTATCTGAGCTGGAAGCATTGAGACAGGAGTACAGCCATTGCAGGTAAATTCTTTTCCTAGGTGTTGTGAAATGTTGAGTGCTCAAATGTTTAGGAAATTTTCATTGTATATTGCCAGTATAAGGTTGAAGGTTATGTATTCATTTGCAATTTGGCATAACAAGGAGGCACTTTGCACTTCTTTTCTAACAGAAGATGGTCCTTTTTCTCTTAGTGGAACCTGCCCACCATTCTATCATCATCATGCTCTTTGTACCTCCTCTTGTTGTGGATTTTTGGTGTATGGTAATGATTCAGTTAGTTAAGTTTACTTTTCGGTTCCCTAAGATAATGGTGTTGTTTTGTTAGAACAGGATATATTCCTTTTTATAGAATAGAATTCATAAGAATGTTATGCCATATGGGAGAAAAATATTTTGATACTTAACCTGATTCATAAAGGATAGAATAATCATATTGGGTTGGCTCATATTGTGGAAAGGCATTTGAAGTAAAATAATGTGGAAGCTGCTAGATGGATAGCTGCTATTCAATTATTCATAGCTCATACTCGCATTGGTGGACATTGTATTGCTAATTATCCTTTTCTACTTATTTTTTGCTGTCTCCCACATGCTAACTTATTATTAATGGATAATGCCTGATGTCCTGTAATTTGGTTAATGCAGGGCAACCTATGAGTATGATAGGAAATTTTACCATGATCACATTGAATCTCTTAAGGTGATGGAAAAGAACTACATGACCATGGCGAGTGAAGTGGAAAAGCTTCGGGCAGAATTAAATAATACGGCTAATTTAGACAGAACTGGTATTATATATATACACATCTGTATTATTAATATGTGCTCCGTGAGTTATATATAATAATATATTCAAACAAAACTGATATAGTGGTCTTATTTTTGTGTTATCATATATACATTGGGATACATTATATTATATGTGCGTGTGTGTAGTTTTATTGCTCTCTTTTGCATATAGCAATCTTCCATTTATAAATCATCTAGTTCTGTGTAATACAAATGCAGGTGCAACGTATAGTAATTCTATGGGACATAATGAGAGTGATGCTGCTACTCATTATCCTGTTGCACAAAATATTTATGGAGATGGCTATGGTGTTGCTCAGGTTTGTATATTGTGTGCATTTACTTTTTGTTTGTGCTTTCTCAAGTCATTTTACTGCAATCAATAAAGTGAAGATTTGGCATTTGATGGTTTATTTTATTATTTATAAGTGTTGTGTGTTATACTGCAAAATTCTAAAACCAACTTCTGCAAATGAATAGTGTAACTTTCTGGCATTATTTGTTGAAACAAATGACCAAAGAGCAAACAACATACTTGTCCATGCTAACTTTCAATTTTTTTTTTTTTATAATATTGATATTGATTAGTATAGAAAATTCTATTTCATAACTGTTCATTATTGAAATATTTTAACTTCCGTTTCTTTGCCTAAACTGTGCTTTGGGTTATACTCTGCAGTGTGAGCAAAAGCTTATTGCAACTATTTACTTGCATTTTATGTTTGTATGACATAATTATTATCTTGTCATAACCATTTTATCAAACTATTTATTGTGAACTGGTAGTTATTTTTATTTCTTATGTTACATCATTTTCAGATGTGTAATGATGCATTCTGTGGCAAGCCTTGTTATAATTTAACATGCATTTAATGATCTCTTTTTAATGCATTATTGATATTAAAGTTAAGTTTATCATTCCTACATTTGGTCGGAAAACTGCAACCTTTTCTCTGAATTTGGAGGCAGAATCAATGTGAATGTTAAACAATTCTATCCATTCCATAGCAGGGACGTGGCCCTCTTCCACCTATGGGAAATGTTAGTGGAGTTGCTGCTCCTATCGGTAATTCTCCAAATTTTGGAGCTCACCCTGGGCCTACTTCTGCAAAACCCACTCATGATGCTTCAAAAATGCCCAATTATGATGCACAAATTGGAAGGGCAGGACCTGGCTATGATGCACAAAGGGTGGCAAATGCACCTGCTTATGATGCACAAAGGGGCGCAAGTGGACATGGTTACAATCCACAGAGTGGACCAACGGGAGCCAGTTATGATGCACATAGGGGGCCTGGGTACGATCTTCAGAGGATTCCTGGTTATGATACTCATACAGGCCCTGGATATGACGGATACAGGTCACTTGGTTATGATGCAAACCGAGGTTCTGGGTATGATTTACCAAGTGGAGCCAATTATGATGCCACAATGGTCTCTGGCCATGACACAACTGGGAAAGGAGGTGTTGGGGCTCAAGGTCAACTTGGACTTCCAAGAAATCCAGCTTATGGGTCTGCAACACCATCTGGTCATACTGGAACGGGGTATGATGGAGCAGCACGTGGGGGGAACCCTGTTCGTAGATAAGCTTCGAATGGATTTTCATCTCCATTGCATTTGACACTTCTTGGAGAATCAGCACCTCCCTCTGACATCTATTCTCGTTATTCTTCACCATCAAAATGGTGATCACGTGATATATGAAAGTTCATCCTCAAGTGAGCCCTATCTTTCAATGCACAGCGGCTGGGGCCGAAGATTTTGGGAGTAAAACCGAAGCTTTCACAAGCGACTGATTTTTGTTCTCTTTGTAAGTGAGATAAAAGGCCTATTGTGGGGGCTCTTTAGATTGAACTGCTATCTAAAGCCAGGTGTATTCCCCCATATTTTCTACTAAACAAATGCTGAGTAGAATCATAGGATGGATATATCTCTTTCTGTTGATAGAACTGTGTAGAAAATATTGTCAAGCTAGCACATGATATTCATCTCCTATGGTTGAACATTTTTCTTGTGGTGTATATTGTGCTTAGCTTTCTCACAGGTGAAGTGAAAATGGCCTTCAAATTTGATCAAATTTAGGAGGTGATCCTAGTCGATAAACCAACTTGTTTAGGGTTGTTTCTACATTATTTTTCTTCTAAAGCATTTTCGATTGTAAAAGTAGAGTTAATTGTAGCGGAGGTTTTTTTTTTTTTTTTGTCTTTAGTGACAATTTCAAATGTAGTTCTAGACTATCGTTTTTGTCATTTAACACTATAAACTATCATATTTTGAACACTTTTGATCTTTTCAATGACATTTTTTTTTATAAAATCCTATTTTGAGTAAGGTATTTTCATTTTAATTTTTTTTCCCAACGAGTTAATTCTCTTAGAAGTTCTTTATTTTTTGTGGCAATTTCAAATTTAGTTCCAAACAATCGTTTCATCTCTTCAATTGTTTTTTTTTTTTTTTTTTTGTAAATTTTCTGATTTTCTATATTGTTATTTTCTTGATTTACGTTTCTTCCGTTGTGGACTATCTCCTTCACCCGACTCTTGTCTCATTTTGCAACATAGTTGGAAAGTTTAGGATGTTGTCACTCAGTAGGCTTTAGTCTGATCGCTATTATTTTAGTTTATGATTTCGTGAATCATTTACTATAACTGTAGAGCAAAAAAAAAAAAAAAAAAAACAGAAAGAACCTTCTTCTTTGTCATCGGAAAATACCAATTCCTAAAATAGGGTTTCACAAGGGATTAGAGATAGTAATTCAATTCAGTTACAACTGATAGAGTTTATAATAGTATAACAAATAGGAAACGCTAAACTCTTCTAAGTTCTAACTAATAGACTATTCTTAGTTAACTAAACTAACACCACATAATTATTAACTATAGTATACAACAAATATAACATGAAATAATAACACTCATTAACACACCCTCTCAAGCACAAGGTTGATGCGCCACAATGTTGAGCTTGTCCCGGAGTGCAGCAAACCTCGGCCCTGGCAACGGCTTGGTGAATATATCCGCTAACTGGTCTTTGGTAGATACAAAGTTGACCACGAAGTCTCTAGAGGCAACCTTGTCCCGGACAAAATGATAGTCGATTTCAACATGTTTAGTCCTTGCGTGAAAAATCGGATTGGTGCAAAGATACGTCGCCCCAAGATTGTCACACTAAGGTCGACGGCTGTCCAGAGTGTAACCCAAGTTCATGTAGAAATGAGACGACCCATGTTACTTCTGCCGACACATCAGCCAGCGCTTTTTACTCAGCTTTAGTAGACGAATGGGCCACGGTGCGCTGTTTCCTAGAGAGCCAAAAAATGAGGTTGGAGCCTAAGAAAACAGCATACCGACTCGTGCTCTTCTTGTCAATCGGACAACCAGCTTAGTCAGAGTCCAAAAAGGCATGAATGGCAGCGGAGGAAGAAGCGGAGAGGCGCAAGCCATAGTCGAGAGTTCCTTTGATGTACCGTAACACACGTTTCACCAGGCCCCAGTGGTCAACAGTCGCAGAGTGCATAAACTGGCACAGGCGATTGAGCGCATAAGAGAGGTCCGACCGAGTAATAGTCAAGTATTACAGGGCGCCTACTATGCGGTGGTATTGTGTTGGATTCTCACACGGTTGCGCTGAAGGAGTTACCGCTTGTGTAACAGCAGCTGGTGTGGCAAGCGGTTTGCAGCCCACCATCCCGGACCGATTTAGCAAGTTAGTCATGTAGCGCCGCTGTTAGAGTATTAAGCCTTTCTCTACCGCAATTGTTTCAATGCCCAAAAAGAATCCCGGTTTGCCAAGGTCTCAGATTTTGAAAGCTTAAGCTAGGCGATGGAGCAAAGTATTGACCAGAGCGGCATCGTTTCCCATCATAATGATGTCGTCGACATAAACGAGCAGGAACACCCGTGAAGAGTCGGAAGTATAGTGAAAAAGCGAGACATTTGTTTTGGATGGTGAGAACCCTACAAACACTTCAAAATCATGAAGTCTTTTAAACCAAGCCCGGGGGGCTTGTTTGAGACCATACAGAGAGCATTGAAGATGGCAGACGTGACCAGGATGTGCCGGGTCTTCATATCTCGGTGATTGTTTCATGTATACCGTCTCTACCAAGTGGCCGTTAAGGAAAACATTGTGTACATCTAACTGGCGCAGAGTCCAGCTGTTTGACACAGCAAGAGAAAAGAGCATCCGGACCGTAGTCGGTTTGACAACCGGACTGATGGTGTCGAAAAAATCCTCGCCTGCTACCTGATTGAAGCCTTTAACAACTAGGCGTGCTTTATAGCGTTCCACCGAACCATCATCGGTGCATTTGGTGCGGAACACCCATTTGCACCCAATGATATTCATGTGTGGTTCTGGTGGAACGAGACACCAAGTGTTGTTGTGAAGAAGTGCATTGAACTCCAGGTCCATGGCCTCATGCCACTGTGGATGCCCTACAGCCTGTGAGTAGCAAGTCGGATCAGTAGTTGCACTTAAGGCATGAAAGCGCTCATTTGTGCCTCGAGTCATGTGACGGAGGCGAATGACATGCCCCCGTTCATGTGGTTGAACACGGGTTGTCACATTTTGGGTCCTGGCTGGTGCGAGACCTTCAATAGCAAGTGGTGCGATAAATTACCATCCTTGCAATGAAATTGATCATTCTCCCACTTTGCACAACCTATCAAACCACAATCCAACTTGTTACAACACAACTTGTTTCAAGAATCATTTTAGCCTTCTACACAAGTTCAATTCTCAAGCCAATAACCAAGCACCAAAATTATTTAAGTGTGTGATGATCAAGTGTGAACAAATGCTAAGTTGAGATTATGCAAAACTTGGCTTTGAATGAGATTCCATAGGCTTGCCCTTCATACTCTCACTAGTTCAACTCTAAGATTGCATGCTAAGATCAAGTAGGTCTTTACTAGGCTTGTAATGGGGTTAAGGGTGAATGACTAACAAAGAAGGGGTATGGAAAATAAACAAAGGAGATAATTTCACATTTATTCACAATTGAGGCTAGAAGAGATATGACATCTATAAACTAAGGAGCAATTTACAATGGAACACAAAGCAACCCTCTAAAGAGGTGGGGGTTGAGTACAACTTTCAACACAAACTAGAATCAATTTTCAAACTTTTATTCTTCTTCATTTTCTTTTCATTTTTCTCATTTCATCTCTTTTTCATGACTTTTTTTTTTCTCAATCTTCACATCATTCTTTTTTTTTTCTTTTTTTTTTTCAAACCAATAAACAAACTTATTCCATGAACCAATACCCCCACACTTAGACAAAATTATCAAGAAGATTGCTAACAAAACAAGCTCCAATAAAGATCTCTTCAAAGAAAAAGAATAAATGCTCTATTCTCTCAAGGGTGGAGGGAAACATTTTGACTAGGGGTTAAGGGTTAAATGATGAGGGTTAACACAAGGAAAAACAATCACAAAGAGGGGACAAGTGCTTAGCACTTATTAAACAAACAAAAGGCTCAACGGGGACAACTAGGAGTAATAACATATGTAAGGGGTAGGCTTTAAAGGCTCGGGCTAAACAAAAATGGCCTAAATCATTTCTAAACATGCAAATCTTAGGTTTCACACGAGGAGTAATGAGGCAAGTTCTAGCAAAACAACCATGACCGGAATCTCACATAAGCATTCACTAGCAATGCATAACACACAAGATCAAGAATTGGTTCAATTATTAAGTGGTTAACAAGGCTATTGGCAAGAGAATAGATCAATCATGTATTATCCATTGGCTCATCAATCACAAGTTGAATTGCAACAAGTTCCACCAAAACAAACCACAAACCAACAAAGGGGGAGTAATCACAACTTCAAGGAAGGAAAGACAATTTACCAAATATTATGCACAATGAGTCATCCAAGCAAAGTTTCAAAAATTTATTATTTTTTTTTAGAAAACACCCAAATTATCCCCTCCCCCGAACTTAAAGGATACATCGTCCTCGATGTGAAAGATAACAAAGAACAAGGGGGGGGGGGGGGGGGGGGGGGAGGATATCACAATAAGCACAAGGAGCACAATCTCTACTATCTACACCAAGTAAAACACTATACACAATTAAAGAAAGTAGAGAAGGTAGATGAGACTCCCCTAATGAATCTTCTTGTGTCAAAGAATCATCATGAAGCCTTCTTGGAATTGAGCATACTCCTTGGTGTCATTCCTAGAGTCAAGAGAATTTATACATGAAAGCACAAGTGAAAGCATAATATATAATAAAAGTGTAAAGAAAAAAAAAGTAAAGTGCAATAAAATGAAAGATAACATGGGGTGCCTCCCATGAAGCGCTAAGTTTAACGTCGCTAGCTCGACTCAACCTCTCAAAGAACAACCCTTGCATGTTTGGATGAAAATGAGTTTCTTTTCTCCATCCACTTTCTCTTCAATGAATGTCCTTAAATGTCGGGCATTAAGGAACTCCTTTAAGCTCAAAAGTAACATATTCTTCTCAAAGAAATTGCAATGATTCACTTCTAAGAATATGCTCTCTTCTTCAATCATTATCTCTTTTTCTTCAACCTTTTCTTCCAAATAGCACTTCAAGTGGTGGCTATCAATATGTTCCCTTAAGCTCAACATCACCACTTCAAAGCTTAAGAAATAATGCTCATCTAAATCAAACTTCAAACATACCCCTTCCTCAAATCCATTTTTAATCCACAAATCAAATGATGTCTTCTTTCTAAACCTTGGATCATGATAATACACAAGAGCTTGATCATTCTCTTTAGTTCCACACATTTTCTTTTCTTGACATTTCCCATCTTGAATAAGCAAGGAGAACTTTGGGACTTTGTCATTCACCAATAAGAATTGGGAGTCCTTAGATATGAATATCGGCCAATGTGGGCCAATACTCTCAAAACTATTAACTCCTCCCGGTTCCCAAACTCTTCTAAAAATCTCAACAAGCTCCATTATTGGGATTTTCTCATTCAAGCTTTCCGTTCTACCGACTACATTTTCATTCAAATTCTCTTCAAATGCACAACTTACAATGTGATCATTGTCACAAACTTCTATATTCTCTTCCCTTTCTTCCTCAACACTCTCATCTTTTATTTCTTCCCCAACACCATCACTTTCTTGCACTTCTTCAATTGGACCATCTTCTAGTTGCTCCTTATCACCCTTCCCTTGCAAGTTTATACTTTCTCTCC